ATGACGGACGGCCTTAAAATTTCCCCGTCCACTCTTAAAAAAAATCCGTCAATGATGGAAAATTGTCCGCTAATGTAACCTCTTCAGGAACTTTATATAAAAGATGTAAATGTTTATCCAGTCTTGTTTAACTTAGATTTCTTTCCAAAAGACAGGCTTTGTTATCAGAAATCACCCCTCCTCCTCCCGAGTCCTCACAAATAAAATATGAAATCTTGGGTTTGCTTCGGGCTCGGGCCTGCAAATCAAGTTAAGTGATCGGGCTCATGCACCCTTTGTGGCTTCCGTTCTCGCCGAAATTTCGAAATCTCAGAGATATGGTGAGGCCATGAGAATGCGAGGCGAGGGTATTACTGTTGTGGCGACGCCACTCGAGCTAGTCCGCTGCTCTCGACTGTGCGTGCGTGAGTCAGCGCGAACATGTACGCAAGAGTGATGTGTCGTTCGCGAACGAACCGGCTCTTAGAGCCGGCTCCTATTTGGGAGCCGTCCTAATAGGAGCCGACTTTTTTTTTTCTCATGTTTTTTTTTCCCCCCTTTCGGTTAAAGCCGCACGTGATTGGTCAAGATCCGTGGTAGAAGAGGGAGGGGAGGGTTACACACGCGCTGCAGTGAAGAGAAGGGGGAGGAGTTAGAGACACACAGCAGCACACTGTGAGCAGCACACAACAGGAGAGACGGAGACGAGAGAGCTCGATAGCGCTACAGAGAAAAAAAACACACGGTGAAAAGTGGAAAGGTGACAAAGGAAACGCAGAGAAATTTGGACTCATTTCAACTTAATTGATAGTTCAAAGGCAGCATGTAGACTGTGCAAGGTTAAAATATCCAATGTCAAATTTTAATTTATAATTTGTGTGGTAATCAAAGCTTATGTTGTTTTACTGTAAATAGTTACAAGCTAATAAATATAGACAATCAGAGATTGGAACTTTTTGTTGACCTTGTTTTGAGATGGGTCTTTGTTTTTGTACTTTGTAATTTATTTTTTGTAGCACTCCATGTTGTGCTCATGTTAAGTATGTTCAGAAGAATATAAATAAAGCCATATAAATCATAAATATTTTATATACTGTATACTTTTTACATTACTAATTCATTTTACACATAATTTTACATTATTTTTGGTAGTAAATTAATTTAAGCAACAAAAAAACTGAGGAGCCATTTGGGAGCTGAAAGAGCAGGCT